CGGGGGCTATATTTAGCCCAGCAGCAGCGTCCGTCCCTCCACACTGCTGCTGGTGAAGGGCAGGCTTTTCTCCCAGCCCCTTCTGCCTGTCCCTGCCAGCAACCCACCACCACGGCCCCTGGGCTGGGGCTCACACTGGGGCTGAGTGGGGGTTGCTCTATGCAAAGGGAGCAAACTACTCCGTACAGCACCTGGGAGAGAAGGACAGACAGGAGCTGCTGAGAAGGGGACAGAGGACTTGAGGCCCCTTCACAGAACATGCAATTTGGGTTTCACCACATTTCAGCCTACCCACACTGGTTTTGTCCGGTTGTGGCAGGTGTCTGCACCCTGGCCACACAACTCATCCTGAGGCAAATCCCACGTGGTGTCCAGCGTGACCACACGATGCCTGTCGGCACCTCCCAGGGTGGGAGGTCGCTGTGGCAGGAGCTGGGCGAGGATGTGGTGGTGCTGGCAGCTGGCTGGACCTGCTGCAAACCCACAGTGCTGCCTGGGGACTATGAGTGGAGGTCCCCACACCTGTCACCATGGCTAGACCATGCACCTCGTATGTGCAGCTCACTGTCACCATCACCCCAGCATCACCTCTTGTTGCAACACTCGTTGTGGTCCACAGCTGTGGGACGTAACCAAGCACCCTGCTGGTCACTGCTCCAGCATGGCTGCCCTGACACCCTGCTCCTTCGCCTGGTGGCCCTGGGGCAGCCCGAGCTGCAGGTGCTCAGGGTGGAGGTGCCAGCACTGGGCACTGCTGGCGGCTGGGCTGCAGTCCCACCTGGGTTACAGGAGGTCTCTTGACATCTCCAGCCCTGCCCACCCAGTGCGCCCCCAGCCCCAGGTGAGCTCAGGGCGTTCCTCCGCGGGCAGCGCTGGCTCTGCTCTGGCACACGTTATGGCTGGACAGCCTTTGGCTGACCCATACACCCATTACCCCCATCTCCCCTATAATCAGGATCTGGGGGGCCATTCCCCCAGCAGCCCCCAGTCCTTGCGTTTACCTGCCTTCCTCTTGGGCAGACAAAACCACTGGCACACACTCACTCCTACCTCCTAACCACCCCAGGCTCAGCCCTGCCTCGTTCCCTTCTACTCTCATCACTCCAGGCAGCTTTTTGCCTGGAAAACCCAGGAGCTGCAGCCTGGTCTTGCCACTGCCCCACCAGCTCTCCAGCATGGCGCTACCAGGTGGCTCCACAAATTACCCAGTGCCTTCATTAAGGGACCGTTCCCCACAGCCCTGTCGCGGGCACATGGCTGGCTCTGTGCTGCCCAAGCCGCTTCCTGCCGGCCTGGCTCCCCTGCCGAAATCTGCCCTCGCCGCCGGCCTGATGACGTTAAATTGCTGGTAATACCGAGCGTTGGTCTGGCAGGGACAAGCGGAGCCCAGCGATTCACGCTCTCCAGCCATGGTTGATGTGCCACGGCAGCTGGGCACGGGGCATGTAAACCTAAGAGCTATAAAACAGTTGGGCCGTAACAGCTGATTAAATGCTCGTTGATCCCTAATTAACCTTTTACAAGCTATTTGCATGCTTTGAGACAAAGTGCCCCCAGCCATGCTTCCCTTCCCCAGCACAGGCAGGCAGGGCTTGCTGCCTGCCCAAATGGAGCCATCCCTCCTCCAGCCAGGCCCCTGTGCCCCATGGCCACCTCGATGCTGGTGCTTTGGTGGGGTTGCTTATGGCATGTTTTAAAGCCAGGATTTAATTTGCTTCAGGTGAAAGAGGAGAGGCTGGTGCTGCCCCAGGAGTACCCAGACCTGTCTGGGGTAGGGGGCCAGGGACAAGCCTCTCCAAGGGGCTCAAGCGCTTGTCTGCAGTCTCTGCATCAGCATGGCTGGAAGTTAAGCTCTTCTAACCATTTCCACCTTGGTGTGATATGGGTGAATTCATGCTCCTCACTGCAGCCTTGCTGATGCTGCCCAGGGTGCCCTGGGCTGGGCACTGTGGGGAGACGCGGGGGTCCAAGCCCCGCAGAGCCCCAAGACCCCCCATCCCACACATGGCACCACTCACCACATTTGGGGTCCTGCGAGTCGTAACACCACTGCCCTGCGGGAGAGAGGAGAGCTCAGGGCAGGTGATGGAGACAGGCACCCGCTCCCCAAACCCACCCACGGCCATGCCTGGCCCCCCAACAGCACACGCACCCCTCATCACAGCCGGGGATACCACCAGCGCTTGCATTCATCCCAGTTATTCTTGGCGCTGCTGTTTTTGCACTCTCCCTGCCTCCCCCGGCCACTCCACAGGGAAACCTCCTTCAGCATCACTCTGCTCAGCTCCAAGGCAGCCAAACCTCACTGCTCGTGGGGCTCTTTCCCGAGCTGCTGCGGGGCCACCCCCACCTTACCCATCTCAGGGAGCCGAGGCAGCCCCTCACCCCACACCGGATGCCTTGCCCGGCCCCCAGCAGCCCTGGGTGAGCAGGGAGCTGAGGGGGGGTCTTACGCAGCCCTTCCCCGGTCCTTCCCGTG